TGGAATCATGCTTTACAAAACATACCCTGGAAGAAGTGGTGGGTAGAAATCAGTTGACCTTGAACGTTTAATAGTCTGGATGGATGAGTTTTCATGGCTCATCTTTTAACAGTAATCACGATGGGGATTGAAGCACTGATCACAAAATCCTAATTCAGGAAGGTCATTCAGGAAGAGCAGTGTAAAATGGATAACCAACAAGGTCCTACTGGAGAACACATGGAGCTCTGCTCAATGTTATGTGGCAGTCTGGATGGGAGGGGAGTTTGGGGGAGAATGGATGCGTGTGTATGTATGGCCGAGTCCCTTCACTGTTCTCCTGAAACTAGCACAACACTGTTAATCAGCTGTGCCCCGCTACAAACTAAAAAGTTTTTATAAAAATAAAACCAAACTAAAAAAAATTAAAAAAAAAAAAAACCAAACTGATGAGATGAACATTAAAAGAGAAAAGAAGAGCAGTATAAGATTAGGTAAGTATATATATGTGCTAATTTGTAGAAATACATGCATCACTAATTATAAGCACTTTACCAAAAATAAAATAAAAATAAGTAAAAATAGAAAAAGGAACTCCATTAAATGGACCATACCTACTTTTAAAGTACCTGGGTTTGTTTTTTTTAAACCACAGGAAATGAATATTTAGAGACCAGGACCTAACACACAAAAGGAATTCTCCATCTTCTCTCCTATAATTCAATCTGGGAGCCATTAATGAGAGTGCTCTGGCTAATCGTAATAGTCATGATGGTATGAGGAGATGTGATATATAAGGTATTCCAACCACGTGGGGTAAATTATTAAGAATCATTGTTAAGTAAGAGGATGGAATGAAACTGGAATGAAACAAGTCAGGCGTCGGGTCTTGGTATTTCCTGCTGTTAGTGCTAGAGCTTTTTACTTTTTATGTTAAAAATACAACATACCTAGTTTTCCCTCTGATATTTATGCGATACTACACACACACACACACACACACACACGCGCGCGCGCGCGTATCCACATCATACACACACGCGTACATAGAGCCATTTCTGATGGCCAAAAAGGAAGAGGCCCCAAGGGCTCTTTAGTGTGCAATTAATATTTTGGTCAGAAAATCAGCAGATTGTTTCAGTCTGGTTATGTGTTATGACATCATATTCCAGTAAAGTTATAATGAACAGAAATTTTGTTTGTCTCTGTGGCAAACCGAAATGAGTTTTGTAATTGTCAGCAGGCCTTAGTGATTATAGTGGCGCCCACTCCCTCCACTGTAGTTAAAGATCTGTTAGCATTCCAGCCGCGGACCTCTGTTTTCAGAAGTGTATAATTAATTGTAAACATTTGCTCTATGGTGAAAGCTTGCCACATAAGATCTCAGTCCAGGAGTAAATTTCTGATTTCAGGTTGTCTGTTTTCAAGTTTTATAGTGGAACCAGTTAGAAATATGCATAAAATCTGTGAAGATAGGAAAAATGAATTCTGTGAGAAGGAAGATAACCTGTATTCATGATATTAGTCTGTCAAAATTTCTGCATTGAAGGGATCTAAGCTAAAATAGGTATTAGGGAATTATATAATTCAATACATCAGTTTTTGCAATCAAAGGGCAAAAAGAATTGTGGCTTTAATGCTTTTTAGTCTCTCCATGTTAAAAATATCTTTTACTATAAGTGATTTTTCTTCCTTTAACTTTTTTATATTTGGCAATTAAAAATGAGAACATATGATATATGTTTTATTATAATAAAAACACATTTAACATATTTTATCTTAATAGAAAACTGTGGGCCAAGAAACTTGACTTTAAAAATGTAAAACAGTGCCTTTTTTTTTTCATACTCAGTCTGGATTTCTCTGCTACGTTTGACATTGTTGATTATCCCTTCCTCTGACATTGTGTTGTAATTTCTTTTCTAACTCTGATCCTCTTTCATCTCCTTCACTGCCGTCTATTATTTCCCCTGCCTTTTGATCATGGGTATTCATCAGATCCCAGCCTTAGGCTCTTTTTCTCTTTTTTTTTGGTGCTTTTACACTTATCCGTTCCAGGTGCTTATCCACTCAGCATGGTTTCAATTATTACCTCCCAAATCTCATCTTCAGTACTGATGTACATTTCTAGTCCTTCACCTTCAGTAAACCTTCACTGATGAGTCCCATCTGCTGTGAATTCTTATACAATGGGCTCTGTGCAGTTTATCTCAGGTTGACTATAGAGGTCTGCCACTTGGACACCAATAATCATCTAAACCTTAGTGGTAACTTGATTGGCTTTTCTTTGCTTAAAAAGAGACATTTTCCAGCACTGGAGTGATTTTTAACCTAATTTTTCAGTGTTTCAACGATAAATTCAGTATTCCTTCAAAATTGATTCTGTTAGTTTTGCTCAGTTGCCCAATTCAGTGGTCATAATTCTGTCTTCATTTCACTTGACTTGTAAAGTAGTATTTGATACGACTGACTCTTCCGTCCTCCTGGATATTCTTGTCCCCATTTGGCTTTCAGGAAGGATATTCTGCTTGCTTGGTTTTCCTCCTATCACTCCCTCCCAAAGAGTTCTCACTGTCTTGTGGCTTTAAATTTCACCTATATATATATTGATTCCCAAATTTTATCTCCACCTTGGACCTCTTTCCTGAAATCCAGACTTATTAGATCTGAGTGCCTGTTTGACATCTTCATTTGGATGTCTAAAAGACTGAATAACTCAACATCTCCAAACCAGAGCTGCTGGTATTCATTCCTAACAAACCCATTCTTTTTGCAGTTTTCACCAACTTAATGCCTGGGCACTCCATCTTCCAGTTGCTCATGTCAGAAATTCTGGCATCTTCCTCGACTGCTCTCTCATATTCCATAGCCAGTGCTTCGGTAAACCCATCTTCTCTACTTTTGAAATTCATCCAGAATCCAAGTACTTCCCATTATTTCCCTTGCTGTCATCCTAGTTCAGGCCCCCGTATTACTGCAATAGCTTCTTTACAGATATCCTGTGTCTGCCATCATTCCCCTACAGTCAGATGATCCTTCCAAGGTCTAAGTCAGATTATGTCACTTCTCTCCTTGAAGCCTTCTGGTGGCTGGCCATTGCACTCAGGGTAGAAGTCAGATCCTCGCAGTGCTTTCTGAGGAAGGCCCTCTGGTATCTGGGCACGGGTTCCAGCTCCTAGCCTACCTTTCTGTACACCCCCAGCTCTCACCTGGTGGGGATCCTCTGAATCACTCCAACGTTCCTGACGCTCGGCTACCTCAGAGCCTTTGCGCTTGGTGTTCTCAATGCCTTATAGGCCCTGCTCCAGATACCTGTATGCTTTCCTTCTTCACTTACTCGAGCTCTTTTCACAGTTGTCACCTTCTCAGTGAGACACTCACTGATCACTCTATCTGCCCCTCTTCCCTCACCCCTCAGTCCATTCAAGGGGAGAAGAAACAACAAGAATTTCTATTTTATTTTTATTGGGACTTCAGGCAACAAATATGAATGACTTCAAAAGGGTAGTTGGCAAAAAAGGAGAAAGCCACTAAAGGTACAAACGACACCGGAAGACCATGTTGCAATCAGATCTACAGCTCTCGGATAATTGCTTGATTCTCTCCAGAGACTTTCACTATTTCATTCACTGCCATTACCAGTGAATGAATTAAATCACTGCTTTTGTTCAGATGGTGTCACTAGTGTTTCTATTGTAATCTCAATACATGCAATTTTTAAAAAGTTCACTTTTGAACCTTCCCTTCTTTTTCTGTTTAAAATGTATATGGGACTTCATGGTGATCCACTGGCTAAGTCTCCATTCTCCCAATGCAGGGGGACTGGCTTCCATCTCTGGTCAGGGAACTAGATCCGTGTGCCTCAACTAAGACCTGGCAAAGCCAAATAAATAAATATTAAAAAAACAACATGTATTTCTAACATCCTAGATATTCTACCTATTTATTTTATTTATTGTCTGTCTTCTCCGCTGTAAGGCATATTTTTGTTTGCTGTGATATTCCCTCATCATAAGAAGGTGTCCCATAAATAATTGTTAAATTAATAGATTATATTGCATAGCCTCTTAATTTCTTATGTTTATCCTTTCTTCTTACAATCCCCTTACAATCTCCCCTTATGTTGGCATCATTGCAGCTTTCTAATCGTGCTTCCTCTCAGTCTCATTAAACACAAACCTGCTAAAAGTTTTCACCTTAAATACATTTTATTATGGTTCTTTCTGCTTTAGAATTGGCTGAAACTCCCCATTCTTTCTTATGTTGAATCTTCTCTCCTTAGTACTTTGCAAAGTATTTATTACTTTACAGTAGTAGCTCCATCTCTCGCCCTTCCCACGTCTAATTATGGTTACCTTCTGCTAAAAGCATGGCAGTCTGCATATTGTCACCTTGACGGTCTCGCCTGTTTCTTGCCTCTGTGGCGAGTCCCCGTCCTTCAGCCCCAGACCATTTGGCTCACTTCCGTCAAAATGTAACTGAAAATTTCTTGCCAGGAAGTCTTCTGTGATATAATGAAATAATTTTTACAGTATTAAGTTATGTTTAATGTTTTCTAAAATATGTTTTTCATGGAGATCAGCATACATGCTTTATTATCAATATATATACTGACTCACATTTTATCTTTTATAAATATATTTGTGAGGTAAAACTTTATTGAGGTTAATAGGAGGTTATAATGGATCTGAGCTTCCCAGGTGGCACTAGCGGTAAAAAATCCACCTGCCAGTGCAGGAGACATAAGAGACTTGGGCTTGATCCCTGGGAAGCTCCCCTGGCGGGGGGGAGCCTGGAAACTCACTCCAGTTTTCTCGCCTGGAGAATCCCCATGGACAGAGGAGCCTGGCGGGCTACAGTCCTTGGGGTCACAAAAGTCAGACACGACTGAAGTGCCTTAGCACGCATGCACATAGTGGATTATAACGGCTTATTAATATTTTAAGCAAAACAAATCTTACTAATGATTACAGAGTGATTTTTATTGAACTTATGTTAACATTTTTATTTTCTTACTTTAGGTATCATTGCCCAGTGCCCAAGATCTTTTATGTTCAGCTGACTGTAGGAAATAATGAATTTTTTGGGGAAGGGAAGACTCGACAAGCCGCTAGACACAATGCCGCAATGAAAGCCCTTCAAGCACTGCAGAATGAACCTATTCCAGAAAAATCAGCTCAGGTGGGTCACTGTGTCATGTGGCAGCCTATTTCTAATAGCTTCCCAGGGAAATGACTGAGAAGACAAAGAAATGCTTCTTTACAAACAGAAGAAGTCTCTGCTAGTAGAAGGGAACACTGGATCGGCTGTGGTGGCGCTTCAGCTCACCTGTGTGCTCGGTTAGACTCTTGTGTTTTGTTGGGATGGCCTTGCCTTCGAGCACTTTGGCTTAGCCTTCCCAGGCAAGGCAGGATTTGGGAAAGTGAGCAAGGATGAGAAATAACATTCATTTACTTTGCATTGAGTGCTGTGTTTTATTGAGCATGGATTACATTGTGTTAATTGACCTAGAATCAAGGAGTTTCAAGTGGAGGAGATATTTATGGATTTTTTTAGTCCTACTTTATTTTACCAACGAGGTTATTCGAAGCCGATATTCAGTAATTTGACTCATTCCCATGGTTTCAGCTGCATTCTCTGTTGACTTCAAAATGGTATCTCTAGTTCACCAGTGCCTAATAAGTCCCCTTCTTATTGAATTCTCCACTTAGTTTTTGAAGCTAGAGGTCCAGCCTTTAGTTTGCCCTTCCTCAAGCCTGTTGTCCCTCCCCCTTTGCGATTTTTCTTAGTTAATGGCAGACTTAGCATTTTTGTCCTTGTACACTCTCATCATGACTCTTATGTTTGCTTCTGTCTTTCCACTAAGTCCTAAGCTTCTTGTCAGCAAGAATACTGTCTCTTGATCTCTTTAAAGTTTACATGGTGTTCAGCATGTGTAAGGCTCCAGAAGTAGGTGTTAAATAGGTGCAGAGCCAGACGCAGAGCTCCAACCTCCTGGTTTGAATCCTATACTCTTTCTGCAACTTAGTCTTCATAGAAGATTAAATATCACACACTGGTAAAGATACTGTGTGTGTGAGAGAGAGAGAGAGAGATGGAGGTCTGTAAAGAAAACTAGGTCTGGGGATATCTACATCAGATTAGTGTTTAGTTGAGTAAAAGATTTCCACACTCAGCATTTATCCTTCTACTCTGAGGGGAAAAAACTTAAAACCAAATCACAAGAAGCCTCTCAGCAAAGCCCTTGACTGCAGTGGTTCCGTGGGAATCCACAGGATCCAGTCTCTGGTTTCCTGTGATGTCTAAGATAGGTTCTCTTGGTTGTTCAGTACATGTAAAGTTTGTTACAAAGTGAAGATTCAATGTTGTCCTATTTTTTTGTGATTTAGAATTGCGAATCAGGAAAAGAAATGGATGATGACAAAGATGCAAATAAGTCTGAGATCAGCTTAGTGTTTGAAATTGCTCTGAAGAGAAATATGCCCGTCAGTTTTGAGGTATGTGTTCAGCAGAGATCTCCCATTTTTTTCCCTCCTTGCTCCTCATTGTTTTAAACAAACAAACAAAATTGACAAATAAAATTTTAGCATCCTGAAAGAAATAATGTGCTCCCTTCTGTTTGAGCTGTCTATCATGAACTGATGCAGGCCCTAAGAAAACAGAGCTTACAATATCATGGAGTCCTCCTGATCTCTTTGCCTTTGTATTCAGCCATTTGTTTCATCATAAAATTTATTTTCCAAATTTAAGATAATTTGTAGTAACCTATAAGATTTGGCATTTTGATAAGGTCACATTGAAAATATTCAATATATAATTAATGTTTAGTCACATGTATATATTAATCTTTAATTTCTTCTAAATTTATGGAGGCCAAAATATAAATTTAACCTTTTAACTTTACATTTAACCTTTACTGATAAGTCACTAAGACATAATTAAGCAGTTCTCTAGTTTAAAACTGGATAACTAGGTCATAAAATATTTGTAAAATTATGTGGCATTTAAAAAAGGAAAAAATATTAAATTGTTATAATACCTCCTTTATTAAGAGGTCACTAACTTTGCAACTCAAGTATTTAGAAAATAGGCAAAACCCAGGAATAAGCTGAAACAGTTGAGGAATATTTTCCTTCAAATTATGTTCTGTTCACCTATTGGAAAGCTCTCACGCTTTACTCACTGGCAGAATCTACTCACCTCAACTGAGAGCCTGTTTTCTTTCTCAAACATAATTCTATTAAAAGTTGTGTTACCTGCTTTCTCAGCCCGTAGCACATTAAAGGCAGCAAAATGAAGAAGGCAGGAAGAGAATGTACCTGAGGGCCTAACGGTCCCAGCAAGAAATGATAGGGAAAATATGGAAAACCTGTCAAAAGTAATTGCATTTAACTTGAAAGTCTTTTTAAGACTTTCTGAATGCCTTCTGAATGCTAGATGAACAGGAACAGTTTTAAAAGTGTTAGATGTCCTTAGAGGCCTTAGATGTCCTTAGTGTAGAATATTTCATGTTCATAATGGTGATCTAACGTGAGCAGTAAGAGTTTGAGTATTTAGTCAGTAAAATATATATGTATATTTTTTAATTGAGAAAGATGTCCATCAAAGTTGTTAAACAGCTTTGGTGTTTCAATCTGTAAGCTTAAATTACTTGGAAAGTATGCTTATCGTAAATTCCTTTATCCTCAACAGTACTGGATTATTGAGATATTGTATCTTTTTTTCATTGGTATCCAATATTAGTAGGTAAAATTTTAATATAATGGTCAATGCTAAGCTATTTAAATAGGGTATTTTTTTAATAGGTTGGGCTTTTGACGGACACGATGAAGTTTTGAGCACTCAGGCCTTGGAAGGCATTTTGCTTCCCAAAATTGACACAGTTTAAAAAGAGCATGTTAAATACAGGATTTAGGAACATTCATAGCTGACAGATGCATAATCCATTACTCTAGAAAGCTAGGTATTTTTATGGCAAATCTGCTTACCTATTTAAGACCATGTTACAGAGAGTAAATATTCCTTATTGTAAGACAGCCTTTGAGGTCTCCATCAAAAATAGGTGATTTTTCCATCTATCACCTCTTTGTGAGAGGCTTCCACATGCAAGATGCTTCATAAGTTATAGAACTCCAGTGAGACATACTCCTTGTACTCGAGTAACTTATTCTCACAGAGGAGAAAGTTAGATATGTATGTGGTAATGATTTTATGATCTTAATTTTCTGTCCCGTAAGAATCAGGGCAACCATAATTAGAATTGCCTTTTTTAAGCTAGTAAAACACAATTTTGACCATGAATTGAATATGTTTATTTAGCTTTCTGTTTTTTCCAATTTAATTCATTAAGCATCAGGAGTATAAATGAAGAGTCTCTGTATAATGAGTTCATAATAGCTTTATTGAAGAAATCCATAATTTTGGCATAATTCTTAATAATTTCAATTTTGATTTTTATATGAACATTAAGAAAGATTCATGCCATAAAAACCCATATTAAGTCCCTGTATTGAATCTTTTACTTATATTTAATAGGTTATTAAAGAAAGTGGACCACCACACATGAAAAGCTTTGTGACCCGGGTGTCAGTGGGAGAGTTCTCCGCTGAGGGAGAGGGAAATAGCAAGAAACTCTCCAAGAAGCGTGCTGCAACCACTGTGCTACAGGAGCTTAAGAAACTTCCACCTCTGCCTGTGGTTGAAAAGCCAAAACTATTTTTTAAAAAACGCCCTAAAACAATAGTAAAGGTAAGTGTATGCTTGGGAATGTTATACTATATATATTATATATATATATTTATTATAGTGCATGCATGCTAAGTCGGTTCAGTTGTATCCGACTCTTTGCAACCCTGTGGACCGTAGCCTGCCAGGCTCCTTGATCCATGGGATTCTCCAGGCAAGAATACTGGAGCGGATTGCCATAGTCTCCTTCAGGGGATTTTCCCCTGGTAACTCTAGCTAGAAGTTTTTCCATAGGGCAGGCACCTAAGCCTGTGGGTTATAAGCAGAATCAGGGTTGGACATGTGTCTGGAAGTGAATAGTAATTCTGTTTTGCTTTTGGACACTTTTGTATACTTGGGTTCGTTCATGAAATAATAATACCTTGCATATTGATAGTTTTTTTATGGTTTAAAAAATACTTTCTCAGTCATGAGCACCTTTGGTAAAATCCTCATCATGATGAAGGCAGATATTGCCCCTCATTTTACAAACAAGCGTTAATGAAACACGTTCGAAGAACTTGCTTGCCTGTGTTCGCCTATCACGGGTGGCAACCTGAGCTGCAGATCTGTAATCCAGCATTCTTTGTGCAGTCTGCACTGCCCTGTGGTAACTTCCCAAGACATTAGGGCATGGAGATAGGATGCAGAGTAATAGTCATGTGAGGAGCGCTGCCGCAGCAGCAGACAGCACATGTAGAGCTCTTGTGTGCCGGATGGGGCTCCAGTGCTTCGTGTGCTCTATCACGTTTAACCCACAGAGCAGCCCTCAGGCCTGCCTGCTGGCTCAGACGGTAAAGAGTCCACCTGCAATGCCGGAGACCTGGGTTCGCTCCCTGGGTGGGGAAGATGCCCTGGAGGAGGGCGTGGCATCCCACTCCAGTGTTCTGGCCTGGAGAATCGCCATGGACAGAGGAGCCTGGCGGGCTGCAGTCCACGGGGTCGCAGAGAGTCAGGCACGGCTGAGCGGCGGAGCACAGCTAGGAGGTCATGGGATGGTTTGGTTTCTGTTCTCTCGGGCGGAAGAGTGCAGAGCCACACGGCTCTTCAGGATGTTGTAACTCTCTTTTATGGAATCAGATCTTATGTACATTAATAAAAAAAAATGAAGGCGTAGTTCAGAGGAATGAGATGGATCTGTACTTAGCACAGGACAGTGCCCGCAAACGCTCAGTGTGTGTGACGTGAATGAAGTGAAAGGTCTGCTCCCGGACAAAGACTTAAACTGTCCGCACTCCAGCGGCCAGCTCAGCCTCACCTGTTCAGCAGACTTCTTCAGAGCAGGCTCAAGGAGGACAGAACTAAAGTACGTTTTATCTTTGTTGGATTTCTCGTTTAGGACATACAGCAGAACAATTGAAGTATTTCTGTAGGTTTTGTACTTTTGTACCTTTGCTTAATTTAAAAATACATGCATATATATTTACATAAATACCTACATAAACAACTACATAAATACTTGTTCTTTTTAATGAATAATGTCATTATTCACTGAGATACTGTAGGTTATGCATTTCCTGAAGTAGCATTCTACATCCTATCGCAAGGTAGACTAAAAATAAATGCCAGATAGATCCCCTTATCATGAATCATAGTGGTTTCGAGGACTGGCTTTCATTTATATGCTGGGAGCAGGATACAGCTGTTAAGAAAATGGTCAGTAGAATCAGAAAATGACTTGGAGTGTGAACCCTTGTAACCTGAGCAAGTTACCTAACTTTTCTAATCTTTCATTTCTCTATTTATAAAGTAGAAATAATAATTGAACATACTTCACAGGATTGTTACATGTTCCTCGAGATGATACATAGAATGCATTAGTTATTATTATTAAATATGTATTAACAGTAGAAATACTAAGTACTCAATAAATGTTTGTTGCTTGTTGTTTAGTCTGACTCTGTGACCCATGGGCTGTAGCCTGCCAGGCTTCTCTGTCCATGGGATTTCCTGGCAAGAATACTAGAGTGGGTTGCCATTTCCTCCTCCAGGCCACCTTCCCGACCTAGGGATCGAACCCACGACTCCTGCTTGGCAGGTGGATTCTTTACCACAGAGCCACCTGGGAAACCCATTCAATAAATACTGGCTTTTGTTATTTTGTATCTCATTCTGTCTGTTCACATTTTACATGTATATGAATGTGTCCATGGTCTGTTTTCCTAAATTCTTCTGTATATAAAATCTGCATATATCTTCTCCACAGTGGAAGAACAGTGCTCTGCTGTACTGCAAACCTAGTCACATTAACTTCCACCTAATCTATTAAACTAAATGTAATCTCAGATTAAGAATAGCCTGCCTTTAGTCTAAAAAAGATCTATCATTTTTATAGTAGACTATAAATATAACTCCTGTTACTTTGAACTATAGCCATTAAAAGCAAGAATATTGTTGAAATGTTGTTTCCGACAGAGGAAAGAGACATTTCGAACTTTAAAAATGATTTTTTGCTACTACCTCTATTATACATGCATTTTATTGCAGAGTTTTCTTCTTATCCACCATTCAGATCTCAGCTTACGCTCGACTTCCTCAGGGAAGCCTTCTCTGGTTCTCCCTGACTCCCACATTCATTTAGCCCCCTGCATTTTTTCTCACATACATCACACTTGGAATTACCTGTATCATATCTGTCTTATGTTAAAGTCTATAGATATTCTCTGAAATGTAAGGTTATTTTTAGAAAGCAACATGGATACAGTGAGTTGAAATCTAGGTTAATTTTGAGTACGATCAGACCTCATAATGGACCAGTAAGTGGATCACCTTGGATAGTATCTTGGTTTTCAACCATTCCTTGTTATGCAATAGAAACAGAGAAGATATCTGCTGACGATTTACCTTGATTTTATTTAGAATAATGAAGCTATCACATTGCCTCATTTGAACCTCTTAATCACTCTGAGATGTAGATATTATCCTCATTTTAAAGATGAGGTTCTTGGTGTTTAAGAAACTTCCCTCAGATCACAGAGCAGAGTCAGGTTTTGGGTCCAGTCATGTCTGATACCAGTGCCAGTTTGAAACTGGTTGGTTGTGAGCTCCTTTTGGATTTTAATTTACAGAGTTACCTTGTTAAAATGTAAGACTACCTGATGGTGTCTTTGAATTTATATTCTCAATTTTAATGTAATTCTCTTCTACAAGGTAAGGCCTCAGAGAAGGTTTTCTGCTGTTGGAGATAAAAGTTTTCTGGATAAGATTATCCTTACTGTTTTGTTGTTGTTATTATTACTGCTGAATGTGATTTTGGCGTTGTGTCTAAGAAATCGTTACCTAACCAAACCAGAAAAATTTCTTCTGTATTTTCTTTATGAAGTTTTAGATATTACATTTAAGCCTATGCGCCATTTTGAGTTAATTTTTGTGTGATATGTGGATTGAAATTTATTTCTACACGTGAATATCCAGTTGTTCTAGTACCATTGGTTGAAAGGCTACTCTTTCTCCACTGAATGGCTTTTGCACCCTTGTTGGCCCTGTGTGTATGGATCTATTTCGGGTTGCCGTTCTGTTTCATTGATTTCTTTCTCTATCTTTATGGCAGTATCACACATAGTGTCTTTTTTTTTTTTAATTTATTTATTTGGCTGCGTCAGATCTTAGTTGCAGCACACTGAATCTTTGTTGCATCATGCGAGATCTTTTGTTGCAGTGCATGAACTCTGGTTGTGGTGCACAGGCTTAGTTGCCCTGTGACATATGGGATATTAGTTCCTGGACCAGGGGTTGAACCTGCATCCTCTGCAGTGCAAGGCAGATTGTTAACCACTGGACCACCAGGAAGTCCCGGTACCACACATACTGTCCTGATTGTTATAGCTTTATAATAAATCTTGAAATCAGATATTTGGATTCCTCCAACTTTGTTCTTTTTTTCAAGGTGTTTTGATTTTTCTTCCTTTGCATTTCCATGTGAATTTTAAACACTGGCTTATTAATTATTACCTAAAAAGAGCATGCTGGGGTTTTGATTGGGATTGCAGAGAATTGGTAGATCAGTTAGAAGACAATTGACCTTTTAAAAATATTGGGTCTGTAGCTCCATTAAGGTGTGTCTGTCCACCTATTGAGACCTTATTTATTTATTTATTAGTTGGAGGCTAATTACTTCACAATATTGTAGTGGTTTTTGTCATACATTGGCATGAATCAGCCACGGAGTTACATGTATTCCCCATCCCGATCCCCCCTCCCACCTCCCTCTCCACCCGATCCCTCTGGGTCTTCCCAGTGCACCAGGTCCGAGCACTTGTGAGACCTTATTTAATTTCACCAGTGTTTTATAGTTTTAATGGAGTGTATATAAATTATATCACACTTTATATATACTTCTGTGCTTGTTCTTGCCACTTAACATTTTTTTTTTTCTTAAATTCATTCATCTTGATGCAGGTAGCAGTACTTAAATCTTAATTTTCACTGCTGTATGCCTCTTCACTGTGTGAATGTGCCATAAGGTTATTTCTAGTTTTTCTTTTTTGCTATTTTAAATAATGCAGTGGGTATTCCTGTACAAATGAACTAGCACCTTTGGGTAACAGTTTTTTAGATGAATAGACTACTGAGGGATGGGTCATGGGCTTTACTAGACATTGACAAGTTGTTTCCCAATTTATATTAGGACCAGCACTGTATAAGTTTTTATTACTCCCCATCTTCACCAGTTTGCATTGTCAGACTTCTTAATTTTTACTGAATTGATAAGTGTGAAATAGTACCTCACTATGGTTTTAATATGCATTTCGAATCTTAATGAGATGAATTATCCTTTTTATATGTTTTTTCTTCTGTTAAATATCTGTCCATCTCATTTGCTCAATTTTTTTAGATTGTCGTTTTCTTAATAATTTTTAGAAGTTTTAAAATAAATATTTCGGATACTGGATACATCTTTTTTTAGTTAAATATATTGCAAATATCTCTTCTCAGTTCATAGCTTATCTTCTTTCTTTTTGGTGTCTTTTGATGAATACAAGTTGTGAATCAGCTCCTACTGTATTAAAGAGTTTAAAAGGATAGTTGACCCAACTTACCAATAATACCTTTGAGCCCTAAATCCTCTAGAAACCCTACTTACAGATTCACTTTTATGATTTTCCTTTATAAACTGTCTTGATTTTCATTTATTTCCTTCAGTCACAGTTTTGGGGTGCAGAGGAGGAGGTGAGAACCATGGTTGCTTTAAGGATCCAGTAAGAAGTTTTACAAGCATGTTTCATATTTTGAAATTTTTTTCTTCAATTAATTTTTAGGCTGGACCAGAATATGGTCAAGGAATGAACCCCATTAGCCGCCTGGCTCAGATTCAACAGGCCAAAAAGGAAAAGGAGCCAGATTACGTTTTGCTTTCAGAAAGAGGAATGCCTCGACGTCGGGAATTTGTGATGCAGGTATGTCTCACTTTTATATTAAAAGATTTTTTTTTAAACTACTGAAAACATTTAGAAATCCTGAGGCTAGAATAGAGATATGGTGGGAAGGAAGACTGGGAATTAATAGTAGAAGATAAAACTGTTTACACTCAAAGTGTTCATTCCCTCCAGATCCATCTACCAACTTGGTTGGAACATTCAAGTGTCAAGGACATGTCAGATTGGAGAGTGTGAGGTTTCAAAGGGACCATGAGCTCACCCAGAGTTCATCATTGAGAATGCCTATCTCTAACTTAATGTGTTGCAATTTGCAGCTGGAGTCTGTTAACTACTGGGAATAAAAGACAGATGGAATTAGAAACAAAATTTAGAAGGATGGAGGTAGTAGGTGAAACAGGGCCAAGAGCATGAGCTTTCAGGTCATTAGAGAAATAGAGAAAAGAGGGCTAGCTGGCTGCCTAACTATGCTGAGCACAGAGGGGCTCTGAGTTGCTGAGAGATTTTTAAGTGCTGCTTTGTACAGCCTGGAAGCTTGAAGAGTGGTTGCTGGTGTATTGATCTAGGGGTGGGGACTGGGAGTGAGGTAAAATGCCTAAAATGCCCTTCTTTTTAAATCCTACCTATCCATCTTTATTTATCAACTCAAGTCTCAGTGTCATAGAAACCTTTCATTTTTATTATGAAAATTTCAAGCATATCCAAAGATGGATGGATATGTTTAATAGTATACAATAAAGGACAGTATAATGAAAGAGCATAATGGCCTCTTGGGGACTATGCCCATCATCCAAAAACAACAGTGAAGATTTCTGCTGTGCTTGCTTTGGCTATCAATTTTTCCTTCTTCTCTTCCTCCCTCCTTCCTTTCCTTCTCCTGAAGTTTTCTAAAGCTAATTTCTAACCACATGTCATTTTAGCCTATAAGCTTAGTGTGTGACTCTAAAACACATGGAAAGTTTTTTACTTTTTCTTACATTAGGTGTGGTTCATTAGAATCCTCTAGCACCCAGTCTATATTAAATTCTCTTTATGGTCCCAACTATTTTTGTTACGTTTTTGGCTTCCCTGGTAGCTCAGCTGGTAAAGAATCAGCCTGCAATTCAGGAGACCCCAGTTCGATTGCTGGGTGGACAGGGGAATGGCTACCCACTCCAGTATTCTTGTCTGGAGAACTCCATGAACAGAGGAGCCTGGCAGGCTAGAGTCCGACACTACTGAGCGACAACAGGCTTGTCAAAGAAGCTTTTCCAGTCAAACCTGTGGATCTCGCATTTAATATAACCCAGTTACAATCAACAGATATTAACTAAGTGCTGACCATGTGGTAGACATCTAGACTCAAACATAATATCTCATGTTGATTAACTTCTTGTGCATGTCTAAATTTTACCTTCCTTCCTAATTTATAACCCCCATGTTTCTTTATCTCACAGTACCCAATATGGTGGTATGTATATAGTAGGATCTTATAAACCCATGAGGTATATCTGTTGCCTGCCTGCCTGCCTGACTGAGAGCTAGTATGTTTGACTTTTGTTGGAGATATAAACTTATGTTGTAGTTACAAGTAAACCATGGTTGTTAACTTAGATGTCCAAAGAGGAGGGATTCTGCTGTGGTTATTAAACACATGGTTTTCTAGATGTGGTTAGGACCCAGAGCAATGTTGTTTTAGTATTTTTTGCTTTGTAAAGTATGTGCACCATTTTTCTTTTTACATTCTTAACTTTGAGGAATTCTGGAAAGTATTTTTTGAACTCCAAAACTTAAGGGAATAAAGATCCACCCACCTCCCCACACACATTTTAGACCTGTGTTACAAATAAAAACTGGCTTTGACTTTATTGAACAATTCCTTTCCTGTGGAATATACCGAATACCCACTTTGAAAGAGGAATTTAGAATATCTTAGGCCAGCTTCCATTTTATGGGTATTCATAAACATTCTAGTCAAACAAGAACATTTGGCTGTGCTTTTAAAAATTTCACATTGAATTCATATTGTTTTTTCCTTCTTCTGAAAGCCCCAGTGGATTCATTACAGTGTTGCTGTAACTTCCTCAAAGTAAAGGGTTTTGTATAAACTGCTTGAACAGTGTTATCACTTTTTATAATGAATCATTATTATTGAACATGGAAGTAAACGATCTAAAGATAATATGCTCATATTTGTCTATCACCAGAAAAACCCCACAAATAAATGTGTGTTATAAAATGGATGTTGTTACTTGTATTGATTACTAGGTAAAGGAAAATTTCCAAAGACACTATTTGGGCATTTAGGTCCAGAGCAAATTTTTTCTTTTTTTGGAAAGGGGTATTTTAATTTTTCAAAGAGAAAATAATGATAACTAAATTAAATTGTGTATTAGCACATTTTATTATTATATATCATATGATGTTAATTTTTCTACCTACCTGTGATTAAGATCTCAGATTTGGTTTTTGTTTTTTTTTAAGATTTCAAGTTTTAAAAAATATATATTAAGGAAGTTTCATTAATTTTATTGGTGACTCAGTGGAAGATAGTTAAGTTTTTGGTAAATGCTATTTTACCAAACTTCTTGTTAGTTTTTTGAAGACTTCATTAATGAATTAATTTATTATTATTATTATTAGAAAAAAAATAGTATCTTGAATTTTTGTTAGGGAGGGGACTGCACTGTATGGCATGTGGGATCTTAGTTCCCTGACCAGGGATCAAACCCATGCTCCACAGTGTGGTAGTGCAGAGTCTTAACCACTGGACAACCAGTGAAGTCCAGAGGATTTAATTTAAATGATTTGTTTAAAGACAAAAATCTAGTCATCATAAATTTATTGCATAGTAAAATAATTGAGCTTCTTGGCAGAAAAATTTACATTGGAATGTAAAAATCTTACAGTAGTCATAAATCTTGGAAGCTTTCTAGGGAGATGACTTTTGGAGGTTTACTTACATGCTTTCTTGTTGTTTAGTCATTAAGTCGTGTCTGACTCTTTTGTGTCCCCATGGACTGTAGCCCACCAGACTCCTCTGTCCGTGGGATTTCCCAGGCAAAAATACTGGAGTGGGTTGCCATTTCCTTCTCTAGGGGATCTTCATGAACCAGGGATTGAAGCTGTGGCTCCTGCATTGGCAGGTGGATTCTTTATACCACTCAGCCACCATGGAAGCCCATTTACGTGCTTACTGACTTTTATAATGCAGTGAATTTTTTTTTTTTTCAGTGATCACTTTAAGTGCTGGCAGGGAACCAAAGTCATTTAGCACAATGGTCTTTTTCAGTTCTAACAAATAACTCTGGGGTAACCAGCTACTCACAAGCTATTGAACCATGGGACTATAAAAGCTCATGTTAAGCAAGGGTTGGGTGAATAGGAAAAATGAATCTGGAAGCACTTGTTCTGGAAGTAAGTCTTTGGGTGTCAGAGTAGGTCAGACAGAAAGCCAGCAGACTCAGACCTAAAATGAATGCTGTGATGGGAACCCCCTGGCCCAAGAACAGGAACCTAGAGGCAGAGGGCCTCAGGCTTGGGCAGTAACAGATTTAAAGATAGGCAGCTGAAGTTTTGAATGAGAATGAGAAGAGGTATATAGCTCATGAAAACAGTTGAAACATTTTTTGCTGCTCCGTTATCTTTCACTGCCATTTACTTTGGCAAGTCTTATGACCCTCAGGGCAGTAGCAGAAGCTTCTGGCATAGCCGGCTTCATCTTTCTAGCTTCAAGTTTTCTAGCAACAACACAGGGTCTTGTGAAGCCACGGAACCAACCAAGCACTGGAAAAGACAGCAGGTAGCAGAGGCTGGCTCTAGCCAAGGACTTGAAGACTTTGTGTATAGGGCCTGCTCTTTGGGTCAGGAGCAGGCCAGCAGATACGGAAGGTGGTGCATGTTCACTCAACTCCAAGTACTAGATTGGTGCTTCTAAGTGGGGTCTGTAAGACTACTGTTGATTTGTTATAATGTGGTTTCAGCAGAAAAAGCAAAGTGAAATGTTTCAAGAACATTGCACAGATTTGAACTACAAAATTTCTGATAGCTGTTAAGAGATCCTTTTAAAAATTTTTGTAAAATTTATTTATTTTTAATTGAAGAATAATCACTTTACAGTAGTGTGTTGGTTTCTACCAAACATCAACATGAATCGACCATAGGTTTATCTCTGTGCCCTCCCACTTGAACACCCCTGCCACCTCCCTCCCCATCCCATCCCTCTGGGTTGTCACAGAGCCCAGTCTGAGTTCCCTGAGTCATCCAGCAAATTCCCGTTGGCTGTCCATTTTATATATGTTAGTGTATGTTTCCATATTGCTGTCCCCATACATCCCACCCTCTCCTTCCCCCACCCCAGCCCTGTCCTTAAGTCTGTTCTCTATGTCTGTGTCTCCATTGCTGCTCCGCAAATAGGTTCATCAGTGCCATCTCTCTAGATCCTATGAAAGTGAAAAGTCGCTCAGTCGTATCCGACTCTTTGCGACCCCATGGAATGTAGTCCACCAGGCTCCTCCATCCATGGAATTTTTCTAGGCAAGAGTACTGGAGTGGGTTGCCATTTCCTTCTCCAGGGCATCTTCCCGGGGATCGAAGCCAGGTCTTCTGCATTGTGGATGGGCAGACGCTTTACCATCTGAGCCACAGGTAGCGATCTAGATCCTATATGTATGTGTTAATAAATGATACCTGTTTTTCTCTTTCTGATTTACTTCACTCTGTATAATAGGCTCTAGGTTCATCCACCTCATTAGGACTGACTCAAATGTGTTCCTTTTTGTGACTGAGTAACATGAATGAACATTGAATTTTCGCAAATGCCCTTGTTCAATTTATGTGGGCAATCATATGATTTGTCTCCTTAACTGATTAATATAGCAGATAACATTGATTTTGTTTGAATTCCGAATGTTAGACCTACCTTACATTTTTTAAATAAACTTAACTTAATCATTATTTTTCTTTTTTTTCACGTTGCTTTGTTCAGTGCACTATTACATGGTTTAAACTAGCATTTATGTTCATGAATGAAACTGGCCTTTAAATTTTTTTCTTATACTTTTCTTGTTGGATTTTGAAACCAAAGTGATGCTTCACTGAATAATTGGGGATGGATTCCTCTTTTTTTTTATTCTTGGATGCATTTTTGTAAGGGTAGCATTATTCTTCCTTAAATATTGGGTAGAACTTGCTAGAAAAACTCTTAGAAGTTTTTGTTGTGGAAAGGTTTTTAATTGTGGTTTTAACTTCTTTTGTGTTATAGATTTATATATTTAGGAGTTTATTCTGTGCCCGTTTTGGAAATTATATAGAAATTTTTCCATTTTATTTAAATATTAAAAAATGTTAGCTGAATTATTCAGTATCCCTTATTATTTTGTAATGCTCCAGAAGGTTCATACTCTCCCATCTTCATTCTTAATTGTGTCTTCTCTTGTTTTTTCTTGATCAGTCTTACCTTTGGTTTATCAATGTATTAGTCTTTTCAGGGAACCAACTTTTGGCTTTTTGAACTTCTCTGTTTTACTTTGTTTTATATTTCCTAAATTTTTGCTTTTGTTTTTAATGTTTTGTTTTTTTGGATTTATTTTGCTGTTGGTAACTACTTGAGATGAATGGTTAGCTTATTTCTCTTCTCCCTTTCTCTAAGCTTTTATGGCTTATATGTTTTCTTCTACACCCTCTTTAGCTGCATCTTTCAAGTTTTGACATATTGTATTTCCATTATTACTTATTTAAAATATTTCCAGTGAGATGTCTTCTTTGCCCATAGATTATTTAGATTACATTGTTTAATTTCCAAAATTGTGATTATCTTCTCGTCTGCGCCTTCTATCACTTACTGAGAACAGTCTGTAAAAGTAAATCCCACATTCACTGTGTATTTTCTATTTCTTCATGTAATTTTTTCCTTTTTTGTTTTCTGATTTAATTTTTATATTTGTATTATCTCAGCATATATATGACTGAAAAATCATTACCCAGCTCAGGAAATGTACATGTGGATATAAGATGGCTGATGTATATTTAAATACGTAGATGTACATACATGTATGCATCTTGTTCACAAAAGAGAACTGTGGGATAGTTCGAATGATAAAAAGCTACCGTTTATTGAGCAATTACACTATAATATACACTGTAGTTTACATACATTTTCTTGTTTAATTTTCAAAGTAACTCTGTTAGGCCATTGTATTATCCCTCTTTTACTAATGAAAAAACTGGGGCTTAGAGATATTAAATAATTTGAATCAGTTCATGGGAAATAATGGAATTGGATTTCATACCCAAATCTGACCCAGAAGTCTTTGTTTTTAACCACAGTATTGTATTAATCTTTATATGTTCTCTTCAGAAACTATTTAATGTTATCCTTTGTAAGCTATATAATTTTTTAAATTTATTTTTTTGGATTAAAGACTTTTTATTGATATATAGTTGATGTATATATATATATAGTTGATATCAACTATATAGTTGATATATAGTATATGTTACAAGGGTACAGTAGAATAATTTATGATTTTTAAAGGTTATACTCCATTTATAGTTATTATAAAGTATTGGCTATATTGTTTGCTGTGTAGTATATCCTTATAGCTTATTTTATGTATAATAGTTTGTACCTCTTATTCCCTACCCCTATAGTGCCCCTCCCTGCTTCCCTCTCCCCACTGGTAGCCACTAGTTTGTTTTCTATATCTATAAGTCTGTTTCTCTTTTTTTATATTTACTAGTTTGTTGTATTTTTAGATTCCACGTAAAAGTGACATCATATAGTATTTGTATTTCTCTGACTTATTTCAGTTAGCATAATATCCTTCAAGTTCATCCATGTTGTTTCAGATGGCAAAATTTCATTCTTTTTATGACTGCATAGTATTCCACTGTGTATATGATTACCACATGTTCTTTATCCATTCATCTGTTGATGGATGCTGAAGTTGCGTCTTATCTTGGCAGCTGTAAACAATGCTGCTATGAACGTTGAGGTGTGTGTATCTTTTTGAATTAGTGTTTTTGGTTTTTTTAGATATATACCCAGGTATGGAATTGCTGGGACATATGGTAGTTCTATTTTTTTTAATGATTTTCACTGGAATATAGTTGTTTTACAGTATTGTATTAGTTTTAAGTGTACAGCAAAATGAATCAGTTATACATATACATGTTGTTGTTTAGTCGCTAGGTTTTGTCTGACTCTTCTGCGACCCCATGGACTGTAGCCAGCAGGCTTCTTTGTCCATGGGATTCTCCAGGCAAGAATACTGGAGTGGTTTGCCATTTCCTTCTCTAGGGCATCTTCCTGACACAGGGATCAAACCTGCGTTTGCTACATTGCAGGCAGATTCTTCACCACTGAGCCACCTGGGAAGGATACATATATGTATATTTACTCTTTTTAAGGTTCTTTTCCTATATAGGTCATTACGATTATTGAGTCGAGTTCCCTGTGTTATATAATAGGTCCTCACTAGTTACCTATTTTATGTACAGTAGTGTATATATCTCTATTCCATTCTCCCAGTTTATCCCTCCCCCCATTCTGTTTTTAGTTGTTTGGAGAAACTGCCACATTGTGTTCCATAGTGACTGTACCAATTTGCATTCTCACTAGCAGTGTACAAGGGTTCCCTTTTGTCCCCATCCTTGCTGGCATTAGTTATTTGTGATATTTTTGATGATAGTCATTCTGACAGGTTTGAGGTAATATCTCATTGTTTTTTTTGATTTGCATTTCCCTCATGATTAGCAGTGATGAGCATCGTTTCATGTGCCAGTGGATCATCTCCATATCCTCTTTGGAGAAATGGGTATTCAGGTTTTCTGCACATTTTAACATTATTTTAAATGGCAGCAATGTGAATTTTATCCTTTTCAGTTTATTAATATAAGTGAAGAATACTAAATGTAGTCATAATCAACTCTCTACAATGTGAATTTTGTTTTTCTACTTATATAAATAAGTTTATTGTTTAAAAATCAAAGAATATAGAAATATTTAAGGAAATAAAAATGTTCTAAGACTCTTTTAGTTGGATGGCATCACCGACTTGATGGACATGAGTTTGAGCAAGCTTCAGGAGTTGGTGATGGACAGGGAAGCCTGGCGTGCTGCAGTTCATAGGGTCGCAAAGAGTTGGACATGACTGAGCGACTGAACTGAACTGAAGATTCTGTCATCCTGACATAACCCCCATTGACATTTTGAGGACCAGATTTCCATAGTTTTCTCTGTGTATGCATTCGTGTATATATATATAAAAGGGATCTTAATTGCTATTTTATTATGGACTGAACTTTATATTTTTGAATGCTAGAGAGCAGAACACATTGCTTTGTGATGTTAATGTTTGTTTCCAAAGCAGCTGTCATTACACTTCTTACTTTATTCTTACCAGGTCAAGGTAGGCAATGAAGTTGCTACTGGAACAGGACCTAATAAAAAGATAGCCAAAAAAAATGCTGCGGAAGCTATGCTGTTACAACTTGGTTATAAAGCATCCACTAGTCTTCAAGATCAACTTGACAAGGTGAGAGTTAAATTTACATGGATAAGTTCTGTCCTGTCAGAATAAAAAAATAATGGGCAAGTTCTGTTCCAGTGTTCCTTGACTCTTAGTATTGTCTTAACTAGTGTAAAGTAGATGTCAAATTTTAACTTTTCCAAGTTGGTACTTTTGTCTTCATATCTTTAAAGATACAGATTCTCCTGGTACAAAATAACCACTGTTTAGGGGTCATGATAAAATATTACAACCTTACAATTAGAACATATTAAAAATTTGCTGTATAATTGTATATGTTTTATATAATATTAATACCAGTATAGTAAGTTTTACCTTCCTGACTAATGATTTTTGCCTTATATACCCAGTTTTTTAATTTGTGCTTTTTAAGAATGGAGGTTGTTAGCCTTTATTTCTGGAATACAGCTGAAAACCCTGGAAATAAAGATCCTGAGTTATCCCTTTAGGGCAGGAGCTATATAGGACAGACACTTTATAAACTGATTTTTCTATTTACTTTAAATTAAAGGTAAACTCAGAGGGTGTTTATTTTCTGCCAAGACTTGTGTTCATGGTCCCCTATTTCTTCTGCAGCAGGTAATGACATCATTAACACCTGCCTGTATTGCAAGAGAAGCTGAGAACCCTGAATTCAGGACTTGGCAGTTAACTTGGCAGGAACTGACTTCATTTCACTTTGTATTCAATTATCATTTTATCTATACATATGCAGAAATTATTTTTATTAAACATTTCATTTGTATGAACATTCCCAAAACAAGCTTAGTAATTATTTTTGTCATAAACAATACAGTTTTTTCCATGCCATTTTCCCACATATGGATTCTATGTCAGGGATATTTTCAGTTTCTGCAGGAATACCTTTGTGAAGTTTGGAGTAAAAATGAAATTATCTATTAAAAAAATACATAGATACACTTTTTAAGGTGCTGTAAATATCTAGGCAGTTATTTTGAGTGATTAAAAATTATTTATCTGTGTGATATCACTGGAGATTTCAGTTCTGTTTTTATAACCTGGCTAGTGAATGTGTTTTCTTCTTTTAAAAGTATTTGTAACATGAAACCTAACACGTGTTCAAGTTTCTGTAGTTCTTATATTGTGTATATGTTGTTTTAACTTAACACATTTATATTGACTTAAAACTGGTGATTTATAAAAATATGTCAGAATAAATCTTGTAGACCTTTATTTGTAAGTTAAGTGAAAATAAAACAGAACAAAACATCAGCATTAATTTCATTAATTAGAAAAACTTATTTTTGCATACCCACTGTGTTATTAGTTAGAGTTCTCCAGAGGAATAGGGTCCCGCAGGGAGGAGAGGTGTGTGTGTGTGTGTGTGTGTGTGTGTGTGTGTGTATCACACAGAGACTTATTTTAAGGAATCGGCCCATGAAGTTTTGGATGCTTGGCTACTCCAGAAATAGGGTCCCGCAGGGAGGAGTGTGTGTGTGTGTGTGTGTGTGTGTGTGTGTGTGTGTGTGTGTGTGTATCACACAGAGACTTATTTCCGCAGGGAGGAGTGTGTGTGTGTGTGTGTGTGTGTGTGTGTGTGTGTGTATCACACAGAGACTTATTTTAAGGAATCGGCCCATGAAGTTTTGGATGCTTGGCTACTCCAGAATTTGCTGGGGACACCAGCAGGCTGGAGACTCAGGAAGGAGCTGCAGAGTCTGGCAGTTGACTGGCAAGCTGCCTCTCGTTCTAGGGAAGGTCAGCCTTTGCCTAGCCAGGCCTTCAACTGACAATGGCCACCCACATTCTAGAGAGCCATTTGTTTTACTCTTTAGAGTTCAGTGACTTAAATGTAAATCTCTTCCAAAACACCCTCACAGAAACACCCAGAATAACGTTTGACCAAATATTTGAGTACCTAGCCCAGAGAAGTTGACACATAAAATTAATCATCACACCCACTAGATACCAGACACTTAAAACTGAAGATAAGATGACTGGAATCTGGTCCCCACACTCACGAAACTGACCAGTAAGTGTTAGGGACGAGGAGCTTACATCACGTAACAAAAGTCACAGTATAATTAATATTCTAGATATGTGAAGATGAGTCTGGAAAGTCAAGAGTGGCTGAGATGACTATTTTTATGTGAAGTAATGTGCTTTTGAATTATTGAGATTTGAGCTTGAAAGTGGCATGATCTAGTTTGCTTTCTGCATAGGACAGTCCTATAAGTAATGCAGTGAATGGATATGGGCAGGACAGGACTGAAGGCAGGGAGGCCAGTGCTAGCAGAATTGTTCAGGTGAAAGATACTGAGGGTCTGAACTAGGGCAGTGGTGTAGAGAGGAGAGGGGAAAGACAGCAGCCATGCTTCTTAAGTGTATGTGTTAAGATTTCAGTAGCAGATAACACGCATGGAAGATACAGAAAGGAGGAGGAAGAATACCTGTAAAAGAGAGTAGCAAGAGACTTTAAGGAAAAGGTGCCTGGTACTTCCTTGGTCCAGTGTTTGGGACTTGGTGCTTTCACTGGCCTGGCCCCGGGTTCATTCCTTGGTCAGGGAACCAAGATTCCCACAAGCCATATGGCATGGCCAAAAAAAAAAAAAAGGTGGTAGCTATATGCTGCAAAGATCAAGTAAGAGGAGTTAGTTAATACCTTTATTTGTCAATAAGATCTTTTGAGAATGTGACAAAAGCAATTATAAAAATAATTCTTTAAAAATAGCTTTTAAAAAGTTAGCTTTTTAAAAAAATAATCAAGATATGTACATAATTGAGTAGTGATGGTGGTGGTGGTGTAGTTGCTAAGTTGTTTCTGACTCTTGCGACCCCATAGTCTATAGCCTGCCATGCTCCTCTGTCCATGGAAGAGTTTAAAAGTGCGAAAGAGTGAACAGGGAAGAAAAAATTAGCCTCACTTTACCCTGAGACCCTCAGACTTGGTCTGTTCCTAAAGGTATTGCCCATGTTTAGTTAATGTTTGTACAACATTTAGAATAGTGTCTGAATATAGTGAATCTTGTATAAGGATTAAAAAAAAAAAAAGATAAATGTCCTTACAGAGATATTCTGTATGTATGCACTAGTATATCTCCACTTTAAAACCATTAAGATTTAGTGAATTGCAGCTTAATGAATTTTGACAAGTGTGTGTGTATGACCACCATCACAAGATTTATAACATTACTGTTACCTCAGTTTCTTAATGCGATTTTATAGTAAATGTCTTTCCTTTTCCTCAGCCCCTGACAAGCACTGATCTGATTTCTGTCTCTACAGTTTTGCCTTTTCCAGAATGTTGAATAAATTGAATGGTACATTATGTAGCCATTTGTGTCAACCCTTATTGTTGAGATTCATCCGTATTGATGCATTTGTCATTTGTTCATCTTTTTTATTGTTTGTTATTGTTTTATTCTTCACCAACATTTAGGCTTTCAGTTTGAGGCTACTGTAAATAAAGTGGTTATAAACATTCATGTACAAATCTTGATTGTATATATTCTCTAATATAGTCTATTAGGTACATATTCATATAATAGCTGCACATGCCACTTTATTAGAAACTGAAGATGTTTTCCAGAGAGGTTGTACCATTTTGCATTTCCACAAGCAATGTTTGTGATTTCTGCTTACTCCACATCTTCTCTAGCTCTTGGTATTGTTGGTTTTTCTAGCTTTGATGATGCTATTAGGTGTTTAATGTTGTTTTATTGGATTTCATTTCCATTTTCCCTAGTTAATAATGCTGATTAGTTCATCATATATTTATTTACCACTCGTATCTCTTCTTTGAAGTATCTGTTCAAAAATTTTGTCTTTTAAAAAATTATATGATTTACTTTCTTATTATTAAGTTGTAAAAGTTCTTTATATGTTTTGGATGCCAGTGCCTTATCAGATAAAGGATTCCTGTCTCTCACTTTCTGTCTTCTCTTCTCCTTTTTTACATATATTGTCCAGTTGTCCAAACACCATTTGTTTAAAAGATTAATGTCTATTCCATTGAGTTCCTTAGATCTTTGTTGAAAATGAGTTGACCACTTATGTGTGGGTCTGTTTCTAGATTTTCTGTTCTGTTAATCTGTATGTCTATTCTTCAGCTGTACAACTGTATATAGAGTGTAGCTTTTTCGGGTAAGGTTTGAGATCAGATAAAGAACTTCATCTTTGTTCTGCTTTTAAAAAACTGTTTTGGCTAATCTTTGTGTTTTCCTAATACATTTTTGAGTCAATTTCTACCAAAAAAATATCCAGTTGGAATTTTTCTTTGGGATTATGTTGAATATTACATAGATCATGTTTGCATTTATTAATATATCTTAAAAATATTGAGTCTTTGAACAAGATCTTGCTCTGTTTATTTAGGTTTTTTGAAATATATCCCAGCAGTATTTTGTACTTTTTATAGAAATACCTTCTACATTTTTCATGTTTATCCCTAAATGTTTCATGTTTGTGGGTGCTATTGGTAATGGCATTGGTTTTTAATTTCAGTTTCTAATTCTTCTTTTCTAGCATATAGAAATACAGTTGTTTTTATATATTGACTTTGCATCCTATGACCTTACTGAACTGACTTATCTGTTAAAATAGCTTATTTTGTAGATTTTTTGCAATTTTCTGCATTGATGATTGTGTTACCTGTTAATAAAGACAGTTTATTTTTTTTCTTGCTGATCTGTATGCTTTTATTTATTTGTCTTGCTTAATTGCCTTGAATGAAACATCCCCTTCAGTGTTGAATAGAAGGTTGATTGTTGAAGCAGAAAAACAGGTATCTTGACTTTGTTCCCGATCTTACAGGGAAATTGTTCAGTCTTTTGCTGTTATATACCATGATGCTTGTAGGCTTTTTATACGTGCTGTACATCAGGTTGTTAGTTCCTGGTGTTCCTGCTTTGTTGAGAAGTTTCCCCCCTGTAATTATCAGTGAATGTTGAATTTTGCCAAATGTTTTCTCTGCATCTGTTGATACTCACATGATTTTTCTGTTTAGTTTGTGGATATGGTGAATTTTTTTTTGATTGATGGATTTT